GGAGGCTCAAACAATTCTCACACAAATGTCTCAGAACCAGAGACCAAGTGACATCACCAGAGGTCCTCGGCCACAGCTGTTTACAGCTCAGGTGGACCAACACAGCACTGGGCACATGGCTTTAATGTTGTGGCTGACAAAAACTTGATTAAGGATCGTTTCTAAGCACCTGAGTACAAGAAGGACGTGTGCATACAGCATTAAACAAGTGTTTAGTGCTGTATGCTCGCATTATAAAGTACCTGAGGCTGTTAAAGTAACGTGAGCATGATCTGTATTCAACAGGAAGTGCTAGCAGCGCTCCAGTGCTAGAGCTCCTTTTGTATTTTAGGAACTGATTTTTCTTTTTGTCTCTCCTGTCAGCTTGTGACGCTCAAACTGTTATCCAAATCAACCAAATGACTTTATACTGTCAGCTGTAGCCGACGGTATAAAGCGCCTTTAGGGAACAGTTGTTGTTAATTGGAGCTACATAAATAAATCTGAGCTGAATGACTGAGTTATATTTGGTGTTTTTGTTTTGAGGAGAGATTGGATTACCCTTATCTGACTGTGTGTTTAAGGCTTTAGTATCAGATTTCTACTCATGTAGTAAAAACACTGAAACCACAATATTGTCTGTAGATGCAGAAAAGTGTTTACAGAGTAAACTGGAATTTTTTATTTGCAGCTTTACACGCATTTGGTTTCATAAACTGGTTAAAAATAGTTCCCCAACAGCATGTGTCAGGACAAATGAGCAAACATCCTCCAGCTTCTGTCTCCAGGCAGGGATGCCCACTCTGCCCTTCACTGTTTGCAATTTTTAACCAACCACAGCATCAATCAGACAGGCTTTAGTGATTAAGGGCATTAAAATCAGTCTTTATGCAGATGATGTGTTACTTTTTCTCCAACAACAAAGACATACGCTCATAGATGAGCCTGGCTCATCAGAACAGGCACTATGCAATAATATAGAGACCATTCATTACCATTCATCAGCTCAAACATCAAATGATGCTGTAAAGCATCATTTGCTCTCTGACAGCAGGGTGGGAGTTTCTATAAATGAAATGAGATTTAAAGACAGGGTGTCCTGTTTTCTGTTAGCAGTGAAAACATCAGTGACGCCCTCATGAAAGGGAAATGTTTTGAGGGGAATGTACTCGTGAGCCGTGAGCAAGTTTAATAGTGTAATTCTGCTGGATAGAACTGACATCTGTATGCAGATGACTCTGCTACGACAGAGAGAAAAGCTAAATGGGAGGAATGATGGTACTTTGATGAACCGAGGTGCAAAAGGTGGAAACTGCAGAAAGTGTGTGTGCACAATAAGTTAGCATTTTTTGTTTGTTGTTGTTGTTTTCCCACATTCTACATTCCATGAATCACACGAGCTGCTTTTCTTTTTCTCTGTTGGATTTTAATGTGAAATATTTTACTTTAGGTGTGAGATGACAGTAATATTACAGTACTGTGTACAAATGGTATATTGAAATGGGTAAATAAGGTCCAACCATCTGGTTCAAACAACCAAAACACCACAGTCATTATTAAACAGACCTTCTGCCCATAGATGCTATGTGACCATCAGAAACTGGGAACATGGCAACACTAAGAGCGTAGGCCTTGTACCTGTTTCTGTGTTTAGCATGGCAGTGATCTGACTTCACCTGGCAGGCAGATGTTTTGGCATTTCACCCTCACTCAACATGGTGTTTGATTAGCTTCACTGTTTAACTGGTAACTTATTTGTATGTGTGTTAACGGAGACATCCATCAGGGTAGTCAGCATGAAGACCCCCGCAGTGAGACAGCACCCTGACCCGAAGCTTTACCTGCTTCTTATATATAATAAACCAAACACTACGTTTCCAGGTGTCCGGTGGTGCTTGAATACGATTAATTTGTTAATGTTTTAATACCTCATGGTAGGAGTGGTTACCATAACAGCACACGTGCAGCACATCTGGAGAGTATTAACTCAAGTTTAATTGTTCCACGTTTTGTCATGTTACAGTCTTATTCCAAAATGGATTAAATTCATTTTTCACCTTAAAGTTCGACACACAATGGCCCATAATGTAAAAATGAGAACAGATCATGAATGAATCAGATGTTTCTACAACTTCATTGGAGTCCGCCTGCGGTGGAAAATGCACACACTCAGTAGTTGAGTGTGCATGTCAGAGCACAAACTCAAAGTCAAAGAAATTGTGTCGAGGCACAGATTTGGGGGAATGTACAGAAAGATTTCTTCAGCATTGAAGTGAGCACTTTGAACTCCAAAATCACTTAATGGAAGAAGTATGAACCATGCTGCCAAGAGCTGGTCGCCCCGACACGCTGAGCGATCGGTGTAGAAGGGCCTTAGAGAGGAAAATGACCTGGTTCTTAGTAACAAAGTAACACTGTGAGGAACCTTGGAGTCATTTTTGACCAGGACATGTCCTTCAATGCACATATTAAACAAATATGTAAGACTGCTTTCTTCCATTTGTGCAACATCTCTAAAATTAGAAATATCCTGTCTCAGAGTGACGCTGAAAAAGTAGTTCATGCATTTATTACTTCCAGGCTGGACTACTGTAATTCATTATTATCAGGAAGTCCTAAAAACTGCCTGAAAAACCTTCAGTTAATCCAAAATGCTGCAGCATATTTCACCTGCACTGACGTCTCTTCATTAGCTCCCTGTTGAATCCAGAATCAAATTTCTCATCTCATACAAGGTCTTGAAAAATCAGGCTCATCATAAAGACGTTGTAGGCTGTTAATTTACTTGTTCCTAGAGTATTTAAAAGTAGAATGGAGGCACAGCCTTCAGTTTTCAGGCCCCTCTTCTGTGGAACCAGCTCCCAGTTTGGATTTGGAAAACAAGATTCCCCCTCTACCTTTTGGATTAGGCTTCACATTTTATTTTGCCAGTTTAAAAATGATTCTATCCCCAGGTCAAATACATAAATAAGAAATACACTATACATATAAGTTAATATATAAATAAATATACTTGTTCTGTTTTTAATTGCTGGTTAAAAACTGAGTTGCATCAAGTAGTGACTAACATTATTAATGTCATCCAAAAAAACGTTGATTCTGTTCATCTGGACGTAGCGTTTCAGGGAGAGAAATGTGTCGTCACTCATCCAGGTGACTTCTTCAGTCTCAGCTGACTGCAGGTTTCCAACCTTATAAACAGAGGCTCTCTCTTATCACCCGTAGTAATCCCATATGTGTCAGGAGTGTCAGAACAGTTGAGACGCATTTTTTCTAAACACTGCAGGCTCTGTGAAACTCTGTGGCTTTTAAACCCCAAAACATGCTGCGCCAAAAATTGGTCCACCCCAAGGATCCCCCAACACAAACAGAGTAACAGAGTGTACGCTGTTGGAGGATTGCCAGGATTTATACATCGGGGAAACCAAACAACCTCTGGTGAAGAGGATGGCACAACACAGAAGAGCTACCTCGTCAGGCCAGGACTCTGCAGTCTTTTTACACCTACAGGCCAGAGGACACTCTTTCAAGGATGAGGATGAACACATCCTGGACAGGGAGGAACGCTGGTTTGAGGGCAGTCAAGGAGACCATTTACGTGAAAAGGGAAAGACCATCTCTGAATGGTCTAAGGGTACATCTGTCACCATCTTACAATGCTGTGATTGCAGTCATTCCCCAACTCTCTGTGAATGGTACTCATGGACATTGATCAGTGCAGGAAACCTGCAGTCAGCTGAGACTGAAGAAGTCATCTGGATGAGTGACGAAATGTTTCTCCCGCTGAAAATGTCCAGATGAACAGAATCAACCTTTTGGGATTTCTTTACCTGGATGATTAAGCATCGAGACATTTTCACTTAGGTGTAGAATAAAGTGCTTGTATGAAAGGGTCTGAATGGGTGAATGAGGCATGTTGTATAAAGTGTGTTGAGTGCTCCAACAGTTTAAAACAGCCATATAAGAACCACCACATGTACTGCTTAAAGAAGTCCAGTCACGTCCTTTTTTCAAGCTCTTAAGAAAGGATCAGGTCATTGAGCAGTATTAATACTGTAGCACTAAAACTGATGATAAGGTTACCTTTGAGCTTTAGGTGGATGCTGTCTGTAGAAAAGCTTCCCAGCACATCTAATTTTAGGTTACTGTTTTATTAAATCTGCTCTTCCACTCTCTTTTTTGTCTGCTGGTGCAGGCACAACGATACTTCAAGATACAGTGACAGAGTCCAGCACAATCGCAGGTGTGGCCCTGAATGAGCTTCCACACCTGTAGAAGGTTATGGCAGCTCCTCCACACTCCTTATTGGAGGAGTTTGAGTTGATTCCATCTGGTTGTAGAAACAGTATCCCAGCATACAGGACTGCAACTCCCCAACCATTCGTCTTTTAAATAACTCACCATGTTCTCAATGGTCATATTGCTTTGTTGTGTATTTATTGCACATTATTGCATTTTGCTTGATGTTTGTGTGATTTCTACTGACTGCACAACAAATTTGCATTTGGGGATAATAAAAACCTCCCTGATCCTCCAGAGTCAACTTATCCTTCTGTCCTCCACCCGTTGTCTCTGTCTCTGTGTCTTGCCAAGTGCGTGGTGTATATGGACGTGGACATTTGAATGGCCACAGTCATAATATATATGGACATACAGTAATAAGTTGAGAGATGTGATAAAGTGCGAGGCTTCTTCCCGCTAACCATCAGAGCATTCCACCGGAGTGTTGAATTCCATGTTTTGTTTCTTGTAGCTTGTCTTTGCTGTCATCTCCTTTGTGCATAGCCTCATGTACCAAGGAGGGAAGCGAGTGGAAAACTTGGAATTACCTGCCAAGTTTCTTTCTGTGGAGCCTTGGAAAAGCCACTCGAACTTTTATTCCTGCCTCGTGTCCTGCGCTGGAGTCCAGTGTCCCATTGAAACTATAACACGACTGTGCAGCTCAGTTAAGCACCATAGAAATAATACTAATTCACTTTCAGTTAAGCTAATTTACACAAAATTTTATGACAGACAAAACAAACATCTAAGTATTTTTATTCAGAAAAAATATTTTATTCAATGAAATCTCCTGGAAAAGCTGTTAAGGCCTTGAAGGTACAGTATTAGAAAAACCGGTGAAGATATCTTCAAGAAGGCCTTCGATGATGTTGCCAACGCATGTAGAAGATAGAAGATGTGAAGCCTCCGGCAGAATCCTTTATTCAACACCTTTCATGAACTCCAGGAACTCTATCAGAGACAACGAACAGGTCAGTACATCAGTCACATCAGCAAAGCTATTCATTACTAACGATCCATGACTGGGTACAATGGAGGAAACAATGTTATTTTGAACTTTTCTACACAACACTGTTTGATTTAAAATCTATGGGTTTTAAAATCAAAGTCCATAAATATCATTTTCACAGTTACTCCTTTGGATTTTGTTTAGTTGCCTTTTGAACTCAGTTTCTGATTTTTGTTACTTTATGCACTTTGTCAGCCACAATAAAGAGCTCAGTGACTCTGTAATCATTCTCCGTGAAATGGTTTGTGAACGTGATGAGAATGTTCTCCTTATGTTGTCAGGAGACAGCTGTTTTGTGCACATTTTAATTACAAATAAACTGCTTCCCATACCATCATAATCAATTTTGCCATCATTGTTTTTGTCTCCATCCTTCATCAACTCTTCGATGTCATCTTCAGTGATGGCCTCTCCAGTGGACTCCAGCATGGACTTCAGCTCTTCTAAGTCTATGTATCCATCTCCATTCCTTCACATAAAAATACACTCATCAATCCTACGTGGAATACTCGCTGAGCTCTTTTGGCATTAAGATTTTTACTGTATGTGTACTTCACATACGCAATAATATTCAAAACATCCCTCAATCTCCTACTGGCAGTTAGCAATGATTTGTGTGGTATCAGGCTGGTGGTATTTTCTTTGTATTCTGGCTGCGTGTGAACAAAAAATGCAAAAGAGACCTACTTATCAAACATGCGAAAAAGTTCAGCCAACTCCTCCTCAGATTTTCCTTTGCTCTCCTCCTTCATGCAGCGGACCATCATAACCAGGAACTCATCAAAATCTACCGTCCCACTTCCTGTGAAAATACAGCAAATAAATAAATCAGGACTATAATGTCTTTTTCACCTTTTAATTTTTTTAAATATGCAAACCATGTCGTGAAATAAACATGTTCCTGATGGAAACATACTAATACTGACATACCATCTTCATCCACCTCGTCAATCATCTCCTGTAACTCTTCAGGAGTGGGATTCTGTCCCAGCATTCTCATCACCTTTCCTAACTCCTTGGTACTGATGCAGCCGTCCTCTGCATCCTGAATGAAGATATCAAACGCAGCTTTGAACTCTGAAAAAACAAATCATTTTTGTTACTGAGATTGTTGTTAACGTTGCACACAACAACAAACAGCCGATGCAGACCAGACTGATGCTGAAAATATAACATCTGTGAGGACGAAACTAACTTTGAACTGTTTCTATCGGGGGCTTGTTTACATCATCTAATATTACAGGAATTCACTGATTATCCTTTGTTATGATAAAAGCTGTCATTTAAACACAAAGATCCAAATCCTATAATCTTATAATTTATCCACAATGGAAAACAGAAAACAAAAGAAAATATTTACACTGGAAAAATACTGTTATTTATTCTGGCACCATTTATGGGAAAGAAATAGGCTTTCCTGTGGTGTGAGGTTTATTGTCAAACAATGAAATAATCCAACAACCACAAATTTATCAATTTAGTTTTATTTATTTTGTTTGTTTTCTGTTTAACCATCTTTGATTTGTCTAAAATATTTATTTATGCTTGCTTGAAAACGTAGCTTCACATATCAGATACTTCACAATCTCAGGCCTTTTTCCACACATGGAAATCTGAGGCAATGATCAGGAATCCCTCAAAAAGTATTTAAAATAAAAGCCTGAAATGGTTCATTGGTTTCTCCTGTCATGAAAAATAATCAGGATCTGTAATTGAAACAAAATGAACACAAAAAATAATGAAAACAAAACATATTCATATTATTAATATAAAGTGCTTTGAGGTGACTGTTGTTGTGATTTGGCGCTGTAGAAATGACACTGAATTATAATTCTATAACTTCTTTCTCAAAGGTGGGATGAATAAAGCATTTTTCATTTCATCTAATAAAGAGAAAGACAGCAATGAAAAGAAGTCGTTTCCTCACCATTTTTTTGCTCCTCTGTTAAGTTCTCGACCTGGAGGAAAACATCACATTTTAATTGACATGAAATTCATCTGACTTGTGTTTTTCATTTGGTGATTGTTTGTGGCACTCAGCAGCAGCAGAGGTTCACGTCTGCAGCTTCACTCCTGCTCTCAGTATGGACTGCAATGTGACACTAATTTCTTCACTTGCTATTCTTGTTTATGGGAGTTGAGTTGACGGAGTCAGCAGCTGTCACTTCTCTTCTTCCCTTCAACTGTCCAGCTGTTCTTTGTTCTCTTGTCAGGCACCATTTATTTATACATATAAAAGTGACATTTTCAAACCATTTTCAGACCAGCGTCTTGACTCCAACATGAGTTTGGTGACCTCGGGCAAATATTCAAATGAATCCCTTTTTCTTTTCTATGAACTTTCTCCTAAAATTCTTCATTGCACTGCATTGTGAAGTTGGTCAAATATATCACACTGGTACACAAGGCTGACTGAACTCAGATTTCACTGTAAAGCTCCAGTAACGCAAAGCTTACAATAATAACATAACTTCACATTTTCAGGAGGACACTGACAGTTGTTAAAAAACAACTATACAGTCTGTCTTATAATATAATTATGTAATTGTCCAATAAATATGTATATCATAGAAAACATGTTATAGAAGGAAATATAACAGCATACTCGGCAATATCAGTACTCACCGCTGCTTTATATACATCATCCATGGCTGCTTATCTGATCCTGCAGTTGAAACAAGAGCACACTCAGACACAGCACGAGGACTGGCAGTTATAACTCCCTCTACCTTTATTGTGAGAGGACTGTGAAACTAAAAAAAGGCTCTTGACCTATCTCACAAAATTCAAGGAGGATGGTGGGAGGGGTGACAGAGGGATTAAAAGAGAGAAGTCTATAAATAGGAAACAACAGAAGGCAGCAAAGAACAGTGAAACACTGTCAGTAGCCCCTCAGCTCTCCACTGCAGCACATTTGAATCATATCACTGCAGGCTTCAGCTTTTTCTTTTGGTCTTTGAAGGTTACTCCCAGTAAACACCAGGACTGCTGTAGTTCCCAGTGACCTACACTTACAGGACTGTAATGGACCGTAATATCTTAAGAGCTTCGCTGATTTTAGAAAAGACATGGTGTCATTGAACCGCTGAGTGCTGGAGGGAGCTTTAGTCGACTTCCAGTGAAGAAGAAGATAACGTCCTGCCATTAAGAAAGTGAACGTTAAAATATTTATTGGTTAGAGGTCAAGTGGGACATGGCAACATGGGGGAAAGGTTTAATGATCACTGAAAATGTCCTTTTTTCATGTCCCATGAAATCGAAATAATTCTGCCAAAAGTGAGTAAGTGATGAGCCAGAGAGTCAGTGAGACTGGGATGGATCTGTGACTGTCAGGTTTTAGAGAGCAGGACTGTATGAGAGAAAGCCGAACGCAGACTGAACCTGTGTGATTCTTTTAGAGCATTGTCTCACCAGTCATCCCCCAAATTTAGACCCAGTTCACGTTCCCAAGCAGCCTTTAGTAACTGGTGAGGAATCAAAAAATGACATTTCATTATAAACTTTAGAGCTAATTGGCTTTTGAAGAGGGTCTTGGCTCATAAGCTCCTCCCACTGCTGTGGAGAAAAGAACTGGGAATAAAACTTTGGCACAATGTCTAATCTGAAAGCACTGAAACAGGTCAGAAGGACGGAGATCTGAGAGAGAGAGATCTGTGACGCTGCAGAAAACACCATCATTGTAAAAATCATTAAAACATGCCAGCCCCTTATTATATCATGCTAAAATGGTTGAAACAGATGATTCCTCAATAAAGGAGATAACGTAGATACTTAGAGAGTTAAATTTGACATGCCTCCTAGACTGATGCCAAATTTTCAGTGTGGAGTGAACTAAGGGTTAAGCCAGAGAGGTTGGATGGAATAGAAGAAGTAAAGCATTTAGAGTGGATGAGAAACAGGACGGGGGCTCTACACTGCGCCATAGAAGGTCCAAAGATCTGAACCAGAAGGAGATTTTGGGGATATGCGCTGTCCAGTATGGAACAGGAAGTTAGGAAGTGACAATCCGCCTCTGAATTTTACATCTCTGAAGTGTGGATTTGTTCAGATGGTCATTTTAATCACACTGATTTTACCAATAAGCGAAAGAAGTAAGCTTCCCTATCTTTGGAGGTCCTGTTTAATTAGCAGAGAAAACAGCATTTAATGTTACATTGATCCTTGATGTTTAAAGTCAGAGGGGCCTAATTTAAAAAAGGGACATCAGAATGTGTGAGCAGTAATGATGATAGGCTAGCATTAACTTTTAGCGATGGTCACTCTATAATCAGAGAATGAACCAAATCTGTGAAAAGCAGATAAAATAAATGATTTGGAGAGAACAGGATCTGGGACATACAGCAATAAATCATCAACACAAAGCGATAACTTAAATTCTGTGCCTAATTGGGAAATTCAGCTAAAAATAGAGGAGGATCTCAGAAAGACTGACAGGTGCTCTATGTGAACAATAGGGGGGATAATGGGGACGCCTGTCTCGTGCCACAGGAAAGACTAAAAAAGCCTGAGTGAATGCTATTGGTGGAGATGCTGGCATGAGCAGATGTATAAAGGACTCTTATAGAAATGAGAGCGGCAGATTTTGAAATTAATCCAGTTTTAAGTGAAACTACTGCAGTTGTCAATGGTGACAAAGGCACCTGTTTGTCCATTATGGAAACTGTTAGCCGATAAAAGTCTAATCATTAAAAGTGCTTCTTTCTGTCACTGTCAGGCTCTTATTATAAATGTCTACAGCTGCTTAGAGAGAGATTTGTTAAAGAGCCTGATCATTTTGGTTTAAACAGAAACAAGTGATTTATGCCAGAACGTCCTGTCCTCCCTGTTTCTCCTCACTGCTTCTCTGATATCCGCCCCTCCTCCTCCTCATACCTGCTGTGGCGAATGAAGCTTTTGGGCCTAACCACAGTTGGTCATTGAACAGTGTAAAGGTAAACCAAAACATTTTTCTTTTTTGTTTCTGTCAATCTTGAATGAAGTGATGCTAAAATACTGTTTCTGTAAACGGAGCTCTGCTTTGAACAGAGAAGTACAGATGCTTTTTGTGATGGAGGAAAATTATTTTATTCATTTCACAAAAAGATGTATCTTTGTAGACCATAGCGCTGTCAAACACTCACAGCTGTACATGGCTGTGATAAAACAAGTACTATCTATGAAAATACTTTGATGGCATGAAAAAATGTAACAAAAGGGCAAATTATTATGTGTAAACACAATACTGATGTAAAAAACAGTCTGGCGTGCTCAGTCATCCAGATAAGGCAATTCTGCCTGACCGGAGAGGTGATGAAACGTTTCTCCCACTGAAAACATGAAAATAGGACTAAAAATAAAATATTAGTAAAAGTACAAATTTATGGCAATTCTTGCATTGCATCAGTTTTCCTAATGAACTGCTTAATAAGTGTATATTAATGTTACAAATGGTAATAATGTTACAGAAGTTCTACATATTCATATTTTTATGCACATAGCAGTGTTTGAAGTATGATGTTGTTTTTCAGAGAGTAACTTATAATTGTGCAAAATATTCTTGCTGCACCCTCCTTTATAAATGATCTCAATAGGGAGCTGGAACAAGTTGTCCCGGTGGCATCTTCACCATCACTGTTGAGAGAGGCGATGCCAGCACAGACAAAGCATTGTTTCTTACATGGATTCTGCATGTGCAGATTCAGGAACACTGAATCTCATTTACCCTCAGCAACTGAAGCCGGCTGTGAAGTACTTCAGAACATCTTCCTTCAGCTGGATGCCAGCAGGCTCTTGACCAAAGTACAGATGCTCAATAATAATGTGTATGAATGAGCTGAATCTTCTGACAAATGGGCAGAATTTTATTTTAGACTGAAAGTGAATAAAATGATCCATTGGTTAAAACAGCAGAGGAGGGAAAAACTACACTTGAGAAAATGTTAGCAAACTTTGTAACGTTTGTTGAAGGTTGGTGAGCAAGTTCAAATTATATGTTTATGAGGTATGTCGTATTTATACTCCATGCAATACAGACAAAGAGTAAAGAAAAATATGTGATTTTGACTGCAGGGTGAATGTGCGTAAACATACTTACATGTGCACGACTAAAGTGTCATCTTATTGACCTCTTATGTTGGCAGAAATGTTGTCATTTTCATTTATCTGTCCATCAGTGTCATGTGGTTTGGGTTTTTCTTTTAAACTCACCTACAGTGCAGGCATGTATTGATCAGTATTACAGTTAAAATCTACACAGATCCATAAAGGAATACATCCAACCAGTGTTCCCTCTAAGCTGTGCATGGAGACTGTGTCAGCAGTGCGCGATTGATCCAACTAAAGCAGGATAACATTTATTGTTCCTGAGCTTCATGTCAAAGTAAGGAAAAAGATCAGAGATGGATCATCAGCGCAAGATTATTATCAGAAATGGTTTCCATACTGTTAACTGTCGAGTGGTTTGAAGACGCAAGACCATTAAGATCGGTGATATGCTCGGACTCAAGTTCATCATTGGCTAGTTTAGTATTTAGTATTTATTTATTTATTGTCATTGTCAAGAACAATGAAATTGCGTTTGGGGCTTCCATACAACCCAAAAAAAGAAGAAAATAATAAATACCCCTTAAAACCCAAGTGTACATATTTAACCCAGTGTGACTCCAATGCAATAAGACAATCCTTAGCAATAATGTTCGTAGAAATTCAGACAAAGACCTGAGAAACATGACAAAATACAACAATGCAACCCATTCAATATTATTGTACTGTGAGATATGATATCAGATATGATAGTTATCTATTTAAGAAAGAGGGGGGGGCAGGAGGGGGAAGAGAATAAAGATATGATGCACCAATGCAGACCAGTTCATTGCTATTAAGAAGTTGGATTAGTTTGCAAGACAGTCACTCAGATAGCAGGCCACACAATCTGATAGAGATTCAACAAACACTATGGAGTTGATACGATGGGGCTAATGGTCACCTTCTTGGGTACCAGCGCATCATGAATCAGGGGAAATGAAAAGGCAGGTGTTATGGGGAATCTTATGTTGAGTAATTGTATTTGTAATGTTTTATTGTAAGTTCGGGGCACTGAGAATTTAATTCATAGAGTCCCCAGGAGACACTGAAACAATGTTTAGTCAATATCAGGTGATTCTATTGAATCAACGTAGTGAATTGTAGTGAATTGTAGTGAATTGCTCACTACACTCCCCTCAGAAAATAAATGTGCTTTTGTTTTATCTTTGTTTTAAGACGATGATCAGCTCAAAGTGCTCAAAACGTACTTATAGACATTTCTCATGCTGAAATAAAGAGCACTTATCAGCCTACTGGAAACAGATTATTTCAGCCCGGTTTCCTGTTTGTAAACTGACTGATCTGCTGCCCAGTGTCCATCACTCCCTCCCGTTAAATCCCGTTTGTTACTTTTAACCCAGATCAGTCACTCTGAGAGGAAACAGGCTCCAACAGTTCTGCGCTGAGAAAACGGGCTGCAGTTGTTTATTTTGTGGAGGCTGACGTCACCAGGGGTGTCCAACCTCAGGCCTCGAGGACCGGTGTCCTGCAGGTTTTAGATCTCACCCTGGGTCACCACACCTGAATCAAATGATTAGTTCGTTACCAGGCCTCTGGAGAACTTCAAGACATGTTGAGGAGGTCATTTAGCCATTTCAATCAGCTGTGTTGGATCAAGGACACATCTAAAACCTGCAGGACACCGGCCCTCGTGGCCTGGAGTTCCCCCACCCCAAACAGCAGCTGTCCACGTTAAACCGTCACTGTCACGTGGGCGTGTTTCCTGTATCAGCAGCAGGTGTTTAACAGCTGACAGGTAAACCCGCGGGCCCGTCAAACTAATCGTTGTCGTGAGGAAAATGTCGACTCGTTGTTTATGTTACAAAAAGACGGACCAGGCAGAAGGTGTTTTGGGTTTTTTTTTTAAATTAAAATAATTTAATTGTTATCTTAATATAATATCGATACGTGTATATATTTGAACGAGCTGGAGATGGAGACTTTATTTTGCGGAGGTCTTTAATATTGTTAGAGCGATCAGACGGTTCCGTGAAAATGACGAATCTGCGGGTGCAACATTTTTAACACGGAGAGTGAAAAACAAACAAATCTAACCAGTTAATGTAAAAACTAGTTAACAAGGAATACCGGGACTATTGCGAGGTTCTATGAACATCCATTGCTGTTTTTAAAAAAGTTTATTGGATGAATGGAAATGAAGCGATTTTGGGACAAAACGAATTCCATCAATTTTTCGGCGTATGATGTGTAGCGCATGCGCACCGCTTGCTCTTCCTTTTTGATAGCTTCTTCACCATGGCGCCTATTGTAAGTAAAAAGTCGTGCTAAAATCTATCGAAGTTGTATCTTTTCCTATATGAAATCTGGAAAAAACTGGCTTGTTGCATCTACATGGACTAAAATGCAGGGTTTGGGTCCGTTTGTGATGGTTTTTTTCGGTTACACAGCTGAGTTTTTTGTGGCCTATGGCTGTCTGTGAGTTAACGTTAGCTTAGCAGCGTCGCAGAGCTAACCACGTTGCTAGCCCTATAACGATACCTTTGTTTAATAAGGTGCGCAGATAAGGTTTTGGAGGCTGACAGTATCTACGGAGCTGTGTTTGTTTGTTTGACCTGCTTGTTAGTTAATCGCTCCGAGACGTGGACGTTACTAGTCGGGGGATTGACGCAGAGCTCAACTCATGGAGATGTTTTTAATTACTTTTAGTCGTACTTATCAAAACATTAAAGAGTCGAAAATAGCACTTATGCATACTTAATGTTGTCATTGAATGTTCTTATAATTAAAGTCGAGCTTTGGCTAGAATCGAAGTACAGTTGCATCATCACGTATATTAAACTGTTATGCTGAATACATATAACTCTGTAGGTAAAAGCAAAATCCGCTATTAATTCAGATTGCAGGATTTTTGCGGTTGAATGTGATGGTGACCAGATTTTACCAATCGCTCTTTGGACCTATGTACTGCACAAACGGGAAATTAACATTTTGATACATTGGAATGTTAACAGTTGGTTGTTGTTGGGTGTTTTACTAAATTTTGTTCATATAAATGTAGTGGACAGCCTAGAGGTTCTTTGCAGTGAAGTAAATGTTTGTCCTTCCATTGGCAGAGGAAGCAGAATGTCAGCAAAGGTGGTAAGAAGAAAAAGCAGGTCCTAAAATTCACACTGGACTGCACGCACCCTGTCGAAGATGGCATCATGGATGCTGCCAACTTTGTAAGTTTTAAGCTGTAACTTTTTCTGAGTTATTTTATTACCAATTTAAGACTAAAGGCTGTCCTGCACAAGCTGCAGGGCTTCTTTGAGATGACATTCCTAGCCAGATCTGGCTCACTCTACACCCTTTTTGAGTTCAGCCTCCATTTGGATTAGCTCGGGAAACCACACCTTTACACACACACACACACCTAAGCTTCGGACTATATTTTTTTTCTTCTTCTCTTCAGTCGGTAACATTTCTTGCTACAGATGTCTTTAGGGCCACATGACACTAATGGTAAATGGCCTGCATTTGTATAGCGCTTTTCTAGTCCCTAAGGACCCCAAAGCGCTTCACACTACATTCAGTCATTCACCCATTCACACACTGGCGATGGCAAGCTACATTGTAGCCACAGCACTGACAGAGGCGAGGCTGCCGGACACAGGCGCCACCGGGCCCTCTGACCACCACCAGTAGGCAAACATGGGGTTAGTATCTTGCCCAAGGATATTTGGCATGCAGCCTGGGATCGAACCACCGACCTTCTGATTAGTGGCTGACCTGCTCTGCCACCTGAGCTACAGCCACTAAGGATGAATGTCATTAACATTTTCTCAGTACTGGTAGTTGTCAGCACCTAGTTACTGATACTCACTATAATTTAGTGTGAAATGCTTAGTTACTGGTTATACTTATACGAGTTGTTAAGAACAAACTAACAAGGCTAATGTGGTTATGTATTACAAAGCTGAGGTGGTGGCAATTTTTCTGGCAAGTGGCAAGAAACAGTGTGTTTACATGTTTAAGATGATATCTAAAACAAATAAGAGTAGGGTTTTTTTTTTCTTCTCTTTTAAGCAACAAGAAAATTGGTAAGTACCAACCAAGTTTCTGCACGTTGAACAGATAATGAGGTAAAGGTCTCCTCTCTGTGTGGCTCCTGTCAATTGATGAAGCTTTCTAGGTGCTAATTAGCTTTCTAAACTGCAGTTATTGGTTATTGCTCACAAGCATTTTGATGTCAACACAGCAGCATAACAGCTGTGATTGGAACACCTGAATTCAACAACTTGGGTGGGTGAGTGAATACTTTTGGCAATGTGGTGTACGCGCCACCAGAAAAGCTGTGCACAAGGACAAACGTTCTCATAATGCCAGTAACTGTACCTAGGATAAAGAAATGCAGATCTATTGCTTAAATAAAAATAGTGCTCGTTATTTTGACTTGAGGTGGAAAAACACTTGAACGTTTAGTTTGAACATTGAAGGCTTTGCTGGAAACACAGGACTCTAAAGCAGTTACATGTAACACAGTCAAATGTGCTGCACAAAAAAGTCAAAATGAATTAACACCGAAGGAATAACCCCAGAAATGACTAATTTTTGAATATGTAACTATCTACTTGGGGACAAGTTTAATACCAGGGTTCTGTAGCCATCAAACTCACAGCCATACAATTGGAAAACATCTCGTAATAATCCATACTACTGTTAGCTTCATTTAAGCAAAAAGGCCTGATGCATTTAAAATCCACAAACTCATTCACCGAAAGAGCTTTGTTGGTTTTATTAGAACTTTGCTTGTTACTCTTCAGTGAACTTGTTGCTCATGTGGAGCATAAATAGAGCCGTCGATATAAAGTAACATTTTTACCACATGTTAATTGCAGGAACAGTTTCTGCAGGAGCGCATTAAAGTGAACGGCAAGGCCGGGAACCTTGGTGGCGGTGTGGTCTCCATTGAGAGAAGCAAGAGCAAGATTACAGTGTCCTCTGAGGTGCCCTTCTCCAAAAGGTATCAGGCACTCACTGTGTTGTTTGATCCTAATGTAAAGTTCTGAGTAAGATGACGAGACCACATTACTAATAGAAGCAAATGTAAAGACCAGTTAACTCAACATCTTCATATAGATCATGTGACGTTACTAAAAACTGCTATTGGTGATTTCACTGTGCTGAAGGGTTCATGCAGCTGCAGCCATTCACAAATACTAACATTAACATTTTCATTTTAAGACATTAACAATATGGTGGCATATCGGTGTCAAACGACAGCTGACACACATCTTTAATCCTGAATGACTAATAAATGTAAAAATAATAATAATGAAACGATGTCTAATAAAGTGTCAAATATATTATATGAAATGTAACTTTCTCTCTTGCTGTGCAAGAACAAAGCTGCACAGGGTTTTTATTGAGTAGAATCATCATGTGACGTGAGCTGGGATATTACAACTGAAGACTGGAACCTGTAGTTTAATTGAAAGTGTAATTTCACAGCTAGTGAGCTTATTAGTCAGTTTTTTTTATTTAATAGAGGATTCCAGAAAAGCTGAGTCTTTTCAAAACTAAAAATGGATAAATGTATTTGCCACGTAAGCAAATAGTTTAACAATTAATGATGATGTCAGGGAATGGATGTTTAGGGAGTTCATCATCATCATCATGATCGATGAGAAAACGGCCCATGGTGAACAGGATTCAGTTCTTAAAGGTATAATGGCAGTTATGAGTTCAGATGTCGCCACACCACCACTCTGTTGTGTTTGTCGGGGAAAAATGTGCTATTTTCATGGCATTGTTAAAGCAAGGTTTGCATAGCTTTTTGTAACATTCCATATACCAGGAAGCTATCCATTAGAGATGGACTGATCCGATATTACGTATCCGTATCGGTCCGATACTGACCTAAATTACTAGATCGGATATCGGAGAGAAATAAAAAATGTAATCCGATCCATTAAATATCAAAAATCACCTCACAAAACTTGCGACATGGCATAACTGCTCATAACCGTAGCGCGTCGGAACAGTATGCATCACGTGATAGAGCGGCTGTGGCGTGCGGGACCTGTCCGCGGTCTGGTTGAGCATTTAGAGTTTGAACTTATACAAAATGCAGCAAGATATTAAAAAAACAGTTTTATTGATTAAAAAACACTATATCGGATTCATATTGGTATCGGCCGATATCCAAATTTATGATATCGGTATCGGACATAAAAAAAAAAGTGGTATCGTGCCATCTCTACTATCACCCACCGTGCTGCTGTTCCCTGAAGGGGATTCAACTGATGATTCAACATCTCTTGTTTTTCCAGATACCTGAAGTATCTGACAAAGAAGTACCTGAAGAAGAACAATCTCCGTGACTGGCTGCGTGTTGTTGCCAACACCAAGGAGAGCTATGAGCTCCGCTACTTCCAGATTAATCAGGATGAAGAGGAGGAAGAAGATGATGATTAAAATGGCAATTAATCTGATTTTGTGTATTTAAATAAATGTTGTTTACAATACAGAGTTTTTGTTTAAGGTTCTTTTTCATAATGTGATGACAGATCCGGAGCAACATTATTCATTCCAGTGTTACTGCACTGTAGAGCACTCACTGTAGGATCTACATAGGACCCAATGAATCATGGAAACAAGATTTTAAAAAATTGCAAATTAAGCAGCTCAGATGGGCTGAAATAAAACTGAGCGATGTGATTTTGTTCATTCTTCATTGTTGTGAAGTGGGCGGAGTCTTCATATGGTCAAATATGAGTCAATTACTGCTGGAGTTGAAAACAAACTGCTTGTAATTTAATGTAAGAGTTCTTCACAGGGTTCTTTCTGTCCTGTGACAAACCCAGTACACCCTCTGACTTATTAGCTTGTAGATCCAGCTTTAGGAGGACATGTTTTCTGTTTGTCTTGCGTTGTTGTAGAGCAATTTTGGCCCCACTACAACAATCTGTTGTGGATTTGCTGGTGTGTTTGGGGTCACTCTCCTGTTTCTCAAACCAGTTTTGCTCCTTTCGTAGTCTTGATGGTGGTGATTTGGTGGCTGAGGAAAGGCACAGACCAGTTTCATGTCATTCCACATGATACCACTCAGCCAATCAAATGTGTGTATTCTGGGCAGCAAACACTACGACTGTACAGTACAGACAAGATTTAGAGGCAAATGATGCAGAAAAAGATGGTAGAAAGCAAAAGAATGATACATGTAGGGGGAAAAAAATGAGAGCAATACAGTAATGAAGTACCAATACTTCAGGTTTCTGTATTTTTTTTTCTGACAACGTTTTGCTTTTAATCCCTACAGTTTTAAACAGGTATCTGAACTTTCTACTCCTTTCACAACAGGCTGTTTGCTTGAGTTATGGTCAAACGTCTTAAAATACCCCAATTTGTCCTGTTATCTATTGTAATTCAAGTTGTTTAAGTACAATGAAAGCTTGAAATGTTACAAAGTGGTGAGCTGGCAGAGGTTTAAAAAAGTAAGGTTACTCAAAACTGAAAAATCATGTACATTTCACAATGATACATGGGTTAACAATTTAAAGCTGTTCTGCAGCAATGGAGGTTGATCAAGCCTTGAAAGCTGGTGTAATTCCTACAGCTGTTCCAGCTGTTGTGGATTACTTTGTCTGCATAAAAGTTGAACAGTGTTGTACTACAGAAAGTAGTGTGTTGGTACAAAAATGGTGAGAAAAAGGCTATTAACAATGGAAGAGAGAAGGACCATCATAATACTAGCCAGCTGAGTCTAATAATATGGGGTGGTAACAGGAGGAGGAAAAACTGCAGAGGTGTGTAAGACTGGCCCCCACTATAGTCACGTTTTGGGTAGGTACAATAAGTTTGTCCAGGTTTCTAGAAATTAGAGCTGCTCCATCCAAACTGGGATGGATTCTGTGTCTCTTAGAAAGACCATGTTTTCCCCAGAAAATTTCCAAATGATCTATGAAGCCCACATTTTTGGACACCACTCAGACAGCCACCATTTTAAGGCAAACATGGACCCTAAAGATCTTTAAAATGTTTTTTCTAACCAGATTCTTACTCTGGATGGCATTACCTTGGCCTCCAGTAACACTGTGAGGAACCTTGACCAGGACATGTCCTTCAATGCACATATTAAACAAATATGTAAGACTGCTTTCTTCCATTCGTGCAACATCTCTAAAATTAGAAATATCCTGTCTCAGAGTGACGCTGAAAAAGTAGTTCATGCATTTATTACTTCTAGGCTGGACTACTGTAATTCATTATCAGGAAGTCCTAAAAACTGCCTGAAAAACCTTCAGTTAATCCAAAATGCTGCAGCATATTTCACCTGCACTGACTTCTCTTCATTAGCTCCCTGTTGAATCCAGAATCAAATTTCTCATCTCATACAAGGTCTTGAAAAATCAGGCTCATCATAAAGACGTTGTAGGCTGTTAATTTACTTGTTCCTAGAGTATTTAAAAGTAGAATGGAGGCACAGCCTTCAGTTTTCAGGCCCCTCTTCTGTGGAACCAGCTCCCAGTTTAGATTTGGAAAACAAGATTCCCCCTCTACCTTTTGGATTAGGCTTAAAACTATGCAAGTGCTGGATCAGGTGACCCTGAATCCTCCCTTAGTTACACTGATGGGGGCTTCCTTTGATGTGAGGAACCCCCCTCTCTGTTTCTACACTACTCCGCATTAAATCAGTCATTATTTCTCTCTGGTTTTCTTCCACTACAGTGTTGTCCGGTCTTCCTGGTCATGAGCGCCCCTCTGAGCCTGGTTCTGCTGTAGACTTCATGTTAAAAGGGAGTTTTCTTTCCCACTGTCACCAAAGTGCTGGCTCATAGAGGACAGCAGATTGTTTGGATTTTCTCTGTATTTTCCGATGGTCTTAACCTTACAATGAAGCACCACGAAGCAACTGTTGTTTGGTACTGTACAAATAAAACTGAACAACCTCCCCACCTCTGAGGTGGATGGATGGCTGAATCGTTTTGTTCAATCTGACCTGAGTAGAGGTTTGACTGCACAGACAAATTCATTTACAGGAATCTTTATTCAACCATTTCAATGAAATAAAAAAAAAAGCAAGAAACAAACCAAACAAAAACATAACCCAGAGAAATTTCACCATTAAAAAGAACGCACTGCACCTTATCACGTTGAACGAGTTTAGACAGTGCATTGGTGGTTTTGAAGGTTCAGACCTGTTTGTGAAATTGCTTAGAGCGCTGTAAAAGTTAAACTTAATGAAATAAACAAGAGGAAAAAAAGAGCTAAGAGACTCTGTGGTCTTGGAAGGACTGAGGCGCGCATCATTGATGCAAACATTGAAGAAACAAGGAATGTAACATCAACATGAAGTGCACAGAACATGGCTGCTGTGTCTCAGGTAATATTCTTCCATACACTTACTATTTAATGCATAAGTGTGCTCACAATGACAAGTGCGACTGCATAGAGTAAACAGAGTACCTGAATGGTATACTCAACAGCTGGACCAGGATGCATACGAGCCATCCGTGTTGTTGCACCAGATCATCTTTTCTTAGTTTCCTGTATATCCATAACAACAATAAGCTTGGCATTTTTCAGACTTTTGGCAGTTGTTAATAAAGCTGTGGTGTTGTAAAACTGCACGTGGATACTCCAAGTATAATTTGCAAAGGAAAAAAAGCTTTTTAAACCTCATTCTGGGGCAGTCTCCAAAAGTGTTTTAATCAGATTTGACTTACGATTCTATGCATGCAGTTTGGTCCTGGTGAACACTAAAGTCAAACCTTCAATTCAATCAAAAGAAGCTTCAGAATAGCTGCCCAGAGGCTGCCAAACATCAAGACAACTTCAGTCAGTGGAGAGTATACAACCAACTGTGTTTAATCTGGGTAAACACTATCCTGTCGACCTTAATGCAGTCTGCAACAAAGTACTTAAGTGCACTATATGGAAGTGTATTACTGCAAGTATTCAAAATGAGACACAGTGTATGTTCCAAATCCTGATTATAATCTGCAGCAGTCGCATACACTCGGTCACACTGCCACAGACAAGATGGATCAGCTGATCCTCGGAACCAAATAAACAAGAATTCCATAACCTGAACATACATGTAGAAAAAGGCACAGGTATGGAGTGTTGGTCTTTAAAATGCCCCCAGTAGGAAAAGACCGAGGGCTCCTGGAGTAGCACCTGTAAATGTCACAACTATCAATACTGAAACAAACAAACAGAATTAAGAGACCCGACATGAATGAGAAAAGAAACTGGAATGGGTTTTTTGGGAAGCACAACTTTGCTGGACGAGATGTGCTTAGAACAAACCGTTGCAGGCTCATTGGGAAGTAAAGATATCTTGACCATTCATTGTGAGAGCTGGACCATCCAGAGCATCTGTCAGTCTCCAGTCCCATCTTCTCTGATTTGAGTGTCCAAATTGTTGTGGAGTCTGTTGGGAGTCGAGATGTGTGGATAACCTTCAGACTCGTGAACACCTCTCCCCTCAACTCAACCATCCCACTAGCACGATGCTGTGACTAGTAGCGACTGAACAGGTCAGGTATTCCTGCTGATCACATGGTTGTTCCTCTGCTCTGTGAAATGGGTTGAGGTGTCACTGCTGGTGGGCCCTTCAGATTGTTCGGGGGTTGTACTCAGGGAGCTTTTTAAGTTTCTCCTGTTCCTGCTCAGTATCCTGTCTAGCAATGACCAGAGAGTGAGAGTAGCCCATCACCACCTGGAGAAACAACACGCACGTTATTTGAAAGAGAAGGACATTTCCCTGCTTCGTGGTAAATAGACAGGTTCTTATATTTCAAATCTACCCGAGTCCTCAAAGCGCTTTGTACAACCTGCCTCGTTCACCAAGTCTCACAGGCACTTTTGTCGTATGCTTTTTCAATTTAATTTAGCTGACTTTTTTTTTTAAATATACCACCACATCACAACAGATGCCTCAAGGAACTGTACATTGTAAGGCAAAGAGCCTACAGCAACTATTAGTTGCTATTGTTATTATTAATTGCTACAATGTGTAGCAATTAGTCTACAGGTTTAAGGACATCACTACTGAAGTGGAGTACAAGCAAACTAGGGCTGATATAATGCTTATTCAAAGTTTTACTTTTATTCAATCCAAGCTCACACACATTATACAGTTTATCTACCCGTAAGCACTTATAACTCACTCACACACACACACACACACACACACACACACACACACACACACACACACACAAGTTTTTGGGAGTCTGGGATCGACTCTGCAACCGTCTGATTGGTGGCTGACCAATCAAATCCAAGACTGTCTGAAACTATGCATCAGATTTGGATCGGATCATTCACACATTCTAATTATGTGAAACTTTGGCACTGCTTAATTTGATCAACGATTGATCAACGATTGATCAGCGATTGATCAGCGATTGTAACAGTATGCATCTTAATGACTCTACTTCAAATAGTTACCACCTTGTCCATTTACCTGCTCAATGTAGATGCCATCCAAGGTCTTTACCTCCTGGGCGGTGGTGGAGGATT